TGCAGGTATCACCACAGTTGCATCACCTCTTTCCCCAAGCTCCCTGTGTACACAGCAAGCCAGGGATTTGTCAGAGCCAGCAGTGTGGAGACTCAGGCCCTTGGGTAGGAAGTCAGCAAAGGCTCCAATGCTAAGATGACCAAAGGATAAGTAACATACTTAAGACCATAATGCAAACGCATATCACGGTTGGGAATGAACAAAGCTCCTCTGACCCAAGGCTAAGAGCACCTGTAATAACTGTAGGGGTTAAAACATTCAGCCTGGCCTGAACAGCAAGCACAGCTTTCTACTAAAATGCCCATTCCTTATTTTGCCAAACAAGCACAACCACAGAGATGGTGCTGGAGATTCATTACAGTCTCAAGTATGTAAAAAGCAACCTAACTCTATCCAAGTCTGCATTTGGCATTGCCCTAAAGATAATTTCACACTGTTCGAGCACAGTAAAAAGATCTGGTGTCATAATTTGGAAGGGAGAGCAGAGCATTGCAGCCCCAGTGCCCCCATTTCCAGTCCTGCTTTCTGGACTCGATTTGTCTTCAAATACAAGAACAAAGTCCTTCTGCTGCCCCAATCACGGTGGAAATCTCCATGGCACGCTGAGCAATATAAAGTTTAAAAGAAGAGTTGTGAGGGTAAGGAGATGGCTGGAGAGAATCCTTCAGCAACGGTCGGGACCTAGAAATCTGGAACTGGAGGTCGCAGCAGAAGCAGGCACTGAAGCCCAGCAACCAGGGCCAGTGAGTCAGCTCCCAGGAGCTGCACTGCATTCCCCAGCCTTCTCTGCCCAAAACAAACAGTGCAGAACAGGGCAAAGGTCCAGCACAAAGCTGAAGGGCAAAGGTATGTGGGGGAGGGAAAACACTAAGCCTCACTTTTTTTTGGAGCAACAAGTTCCAGTTACCCTCATCATCCCCAAGAAGATGGGAAGAGTTACTCGAACCTGAGTTGTGGGATTGGAACAAAACAGGAGTTTGGAGAGGAAACTTGGGGCGGTGGTGGGGGCCTCCTGCTGTGATAGCAGCTCTGTTGCAACAGCCAGAAGAGCTCCTCAACTACGTGCCACGACAGAGTGAGAATTGCCCAACACTTTGGAAATAGGTGTGTGCAGGACTACCAAGCTAGATACCTGAGCAAGCAGATGTGTCTACTCTGAACACGAAGAAATGCCAATGGTAAAACAAGCTTCCCATCCATCTTATCTCCTGTACCAGAGGCTGATTTCAAGGAAAGCCCTATGGGGACTTAGTCAGCAAGGGGTGAGATGCTAATGAACCTTCCCTTGCCTTCTCCTCAGCACCGGTAGCCAAGTCAGACTCTGCTCGGGCATAAAGCAACACGCACTCTCAACCACAGTCAGCTCACCCCTGGTGCTTGCTGCTAGCAACTAAGGTGTGCCTTCTGGAAAGTACTGCTTATCCACCCTGCACGTTTGCCAAACAGCATGCAGGAAGCTCTACTCAAGAAATCAAAGTACCTCCTGCATCTCCTCTAGGAAATACACCGCTTTCCCTGGCCAAGCACTTACAAGGAGAATTTTAAAAGTTAGCCCAGCAAAGCTGAGTGATTGCAGTGCCAGTCATTAAAACCTGCATGTTCTTACTTCCAAGATGTAAATGGCTTTAAAAATAAAGAAGTGCCAAGTGCCTTGATGCAACATTTCTTGAAATACATCCAGCAGGTTTTCAAAACGGGGTGCTGTTAACACCTGTCCTCACCAAGGCTTGCATCAGCATCAGCCCTGGTGCAGGGCACAGCGGAGGAGTACAACATGTTCAGAAGGTCGAGCTGTTTTAACTGCAAGCCACACTGCTCATCTACAGAAGAACTGAAGAAAACACTTTGAATTTGGTTTATAGCCAGTAGTGCAAAGCTGGTTTTGCCAGAAAACGTTTCCTTCACTACCACAGACACACATACACTACCATCATGTGTCAGTCAGGCTGCTGGCTGCATTTATTTACATGATAAGAAGAGAACATGTAATAACGAGGGCATGGTCACACAGACCTTGCTACTAGATCATTAGAGAGTAAAAACGAGGCATCATTACAGCTCTGCAGCGTCCCTCACAAGCAGTCAGCAGTGTCAAGTACAAGCCTGGCCACATGGGACAGGACCATGTGTACCTTAGGACTCAAAGGATCCCCCCTCTCCTCTGACAGAAACACACACGAATAAAAAGGTAACCTGCATCTTGTCAAGAGACCACGGAAATTTTCTGGTGTGCTACTCCAGAAGAGCCTCAGCCTCCTCCACTCACAGCATCAGCAGTATCACTGGTGTCTAACTCGACCTAATGGCTGCCCCACTTACTGCCAAGCCATTGTGCTTTTGGGAGGTTAAGAAGCAAGGAGAGGCTTCACTTCAAGAGCCCTCCTTCCTGAAAAAGCAGAAAGCTTTGCTTGAACATCCTATTATATTACAGGCTTCACTGCCAACTTTGAGCATAAAAATGCTGCAGCAGGTAGGCAAGGCACAAGCTTCTAAAGGTAAATCCTAATCCATGAAAAAACAACCCTGTTCTTCAGTCCCTGTGTCAGGCCCCAAATGCACTCAATTTGCCCAGCTGTGGCGTGTCAAACAGTTCAAAACAAGCTGGTGTTTTGACCACCTGGAGGTGGATTTGTTAAGCTCTTCCCTATCCATATTCCAACACGGACAGCAGAAACTCACCAAGATCTTGCAGGTGGCTGTTTTCCCTGAGCTCAATGCTTTTACTTTTATAAGCATCAATTCCAACACAGGCCATTACTGAATGCATGGACACCTAAGGAGAAGGTCTTGTCCATTAAATCCGCTCTATAATTAATATAATCATTATAAAAAAATAAGGGCTTTCAAAGCCTGTAAAACAAGTCATAGAGGGATCCCTTTATCTTTACAGAGCTGTCTGCACTACGCTCTCTGGTCTCCTCACTACCTCTGGTGGATCAGGGCTGGAAACATTTAGTATCTCCAGCACACAAGCACTGCACTGGGAACACTGCTGGATTGTGAGCAAAGGCTTTGTAAGCTCTGCTGAGAAACCAAAGACTTCCAGTAGTGACTTTCCAGAGTTCAGAAGCTCTCAATCCACTTCAAGTGCAGAAAAACAGTCGCTTTTCTTGGGGGATCCTCCTGGGGGTCACTACAACACCACAACTCAACTTGCCTCACCAGCTGATTCTTTCACACAAATTCACGCTCCAGATCTTTTTTGGTAAGTGCCTGCCAAAACAAATCCTCCACCCAATGAAATGAAGACACAACATGAGCCTGCAAACTGTACAAGAAGGTACCTGGGTGCAGGGCTGCCAGGCAAGGTCAGCTGCCAGCCTGCCTCTCGTGGGAGCTCACCAGCCGTGTTTATTTTACACGTTTTCTCTTCTGCTAATGAACACGCAGCAAAAGAAACAATGGCCCAAGAGAGGCGAGCCAGGCAGCAGCACTGGGGGCACTGCTGGAACCAGTCACTGCTGCCAAGCGTCCCAGAACACACCACTAACAAATTCCGTTTTTTAAACACCTTTGGGAATACAGAGACAACTGTGCTGGGCCCAAGGACAATTCTGAGTGTTGCAGCATTACTCCCTTACCCTACAACTGCGTGGACACGCATATGACACACCCTCACTCTTTCCCTCAAATAACCATCCCAGGAGTTGCAAGGGGCCCCGCTTGTGTTGGGCAGCTGCCTCGTGGCTGCTGACTCTGACAAATCACACACCTTTGCAACCGGTGAGGCTGGTAATGAATCTGGACACTCCTTACACAGGAGACTCAAACAGGAACACTCAGCCTTGCAATTTTGCATTTTTTGTTTTTTTTTTCCTCAGGATCGTTATTTCAGAAGGCATCACAATAGAGCGCAACCTTCACACAAAGGAGCGATGTGACCAGTTTCGTGTCATAACGCACGAGGCAAATGCAGACAGCGACGCTGTCCTGGATTTCCTTAAGCTTTGCTTATGTCCATGACTACAATGACAAACCACCAAACAATCCAAACACAGACTTCTACCTGGCACGATTAACTTGTCCTCTATACTTCCCATTAAGATGACAGCTTTCCAGGTGGAAATTGCAGAGCTGTCCATCTCCCAAAGATCAATAACTCTGATGAATCACCATGCTAGGTAGTAACAGTTCTTACAAAACACTGGCACGTACAGTAACTGGGGATCTGATGGCACATCTGGCAGCGTGATTTCAGAGCTAACAGAGACAGGTAGAAAAAGATTAGGTCTTTCCCAAACAAGACGCTTAGAGAAAACTTCCGTGCTTTTCTCCTACTCCTGATTCACTTAAAGCAGGTACGAGAGGAGCGCAACACCCATCCCGACAGGCGAGGAAATGGTGCTCTGCAGTTTCAGCCTTTGCTGACGACAGCAGCGGGTTACAAGCACGATTTGGACAGCGCAGCCCCTCCACTTCCCTTTTCGGGGACCCCCGTTCCCCAGCCGTGCCCCCAGCCCGGGGCAGCGACCGCGCCGGGCAGAGCCGCGCCGGCCTCGGCCCCCGGCCCCGCGGCCGCCATGAGTCGGCAGAGAAAGGCGGCGCGGCCTGCGCGGGGGAGCCGCGGCCGCGCACACGTGGGCAGCGCAGGCCGCGGCCCGGGGAAGGGCCCCCGCGGGGGCGACGGGGCCGCGCTCCCGGGGGAGCCGCACGCCGGGAACCGACCACGTTGCCGGCGGTGCTGCGGCGGAATGCCGGGAGCGGGAGGGGAGGGGGGGGGCCGCGTGTCCGCCGCCGGGCCCGCCCGCCGCCGCCGGGCCCCCGGCGCCCTCCGCTCGCCGCCGCATGGCCGGGCCGGGCCGCGCTGCCCTCCCCGCCTCGTGGCCGCGGCCGCCGCCGCCGCTCGCCCCGCTCCCGGCGCGCCCCCCGCCCCGCCGCGGCCCCGCAGGCCGCGGGCGCGGCCCCACGCCGCGTGTGCCGCATGGCGCGGCCGCCCGGGGCGCGGTCGGCGGCGCAGCCGGCCCCCCCCGCCCCGCTCCCAGCGACCCCCGAGCACCCACCGGGAGGCGACTGCCCGTTCACGGCCGGCGCGTTCTTCGTCCAGGGGTTCACCTTGGGCGGCGGGGCCTCGATGAACTCCCGGCGCCCCGCGCCGCCCGCCTCGCCGCCGTCCTCCGCCTCGCCGCCGGCCCTCAGCAGGCTCTCCTTCTCCTGGTTGTTGCTCTCCTCCTTCTGCTGCTTGGCGCTGGGCGGCCTGGGCGCCGCCGGCCCGCCGTCGGGGCCCATGGGAGGCTCGCCCTTCTCCCGGCCGCCGTCCTGCGGCGGCTTCAGCACCAGGGCGCGCTCCTCGGCGGGCAGCAGCGGGGCCGTGCCGGGCAGCAGCGCCTCCACCTGCGTCGCCATCTGCGCGCCCCCGAGCCCCGCCGGGAACCCCCCGACCCCGGTGCCGCCGCAATATGGAGCCGCGCGGGGACCACGCGACTGCCGCGGGGGCGCGCACCGCCCGCCCGTGCGCGCCGCCGGCGAGGGGAGGGGCGGCGCGGGGCGCGCCCCCGCGGGGCGGCCGGCGGCGCGCACGGGCCTGATGCAACGCCCGGCTGAGCCGGGGGAGCGGGAACGGGGGGGGGTTTAAAGGGCACCGGCCCCTTCCTGACATCCCGGCCTCGGGAGGAGAGAGGCCGGATCGGGCTAGGGGTGCCGATCCCGGCTCGGGCACTCCGGGAACGAATGCACCGGTGGAGCCCCGGAGTGCCCGAGCCGGCTTTGACTGAGTGTCCCCGGCCGGCATCAGCCGGGAGCCGAGGGATTGAGATGTGCTCGGTAACCCGCGCCTGGGGATAATGGGATAACGTGGTTGGAAAGTGCAGAAAGAGACTCGGTGCGGGGCCTGGGGGATCACGGAGCCACAGAAACGCTCAGGTTGGGCCATCTGGTCCCAGCTCCCTGTGTAAACAGGGTTGTCCCGGAGCACATGGCACAGGATTGCATCCAGACCGTTCTTGAATATCTCCGGTGAGGCAGACCCCGCAGCCTCTATACTCTCTGTTCCAGTGTGGGTCACTGCACAGTAAAGAAGTTCTTCCTTATATTCAGGTGGAGCTTCCTGTGCATTAATTTTTTCCCATTACCTGTGTCCTATTGCTCAGCACCACCGAGAAGAGCCCTGCTCCATGTGCTTGGCTCCCCCCTTTAGAGATTTATACACATTAATGAGGGAGAGACCACCTCTCATCTGTGCCCAGCAAAACCTTTGTTTGAGTAGGCTGAAATATTTAATTGATCTCTAGCTGATAGAATGTGACTTGCTCATCACCATCATTAATATGCCTCGTATTTGTCCTCAATTTTTGCAGCCAGCAAGACAGCAACTGCAGACTGTGTGTGTATGTGCACATGAATTAGACACATTTAAAAGGCAACTTGCATTGCTGATACATATAGCACAACCTGCCTAATTCACAGCAGCCCTTACTTGATGCCTTTTTTATTCAGTGCAAGCCTCTCCCAGCCTCTTCCTTCATCACAGGAAAGGTTCATCTGGAAGTCCCGGCATGTCCTGCAGCCCCAGGGACACATCTATGCAATCCCTGCAGGAGACCCGTCAGCATGACAAGGCACTGAAGATGTAGCTGCCAGCTGCTGATGCGTGGAGAAGGATGAAAAGCTGATTTCACTGTTGGAAGGAAAGAAGAAAGTGAGAAACAAACATGAGCTCAGCACAACGTTTGGAAGGGCAACAGCATCAGGGCAGATCCATAGAGGGAGTCCCAGGCTGTCAGGGATGCTCCACTGAAACCATCTCAGCTCTCTGTGTGCCCTGCTACCCAACCTCTTGGCTCAGAGAGTACCCTCCTGTGCCACAGCCTCAGGGATCACCAGCAGTTATCCCAAATCATTCAAGAATTTGGCCAGTAAAGTTCCATAAGGAAGTTTAACTCCAGAAGAGAGGTCTGCTGGCCTGGCTGGCTCTATAGTGAGCTGCAACAACCCAAGCCACATCCTGTGCTCCTGTGCCCAGTCCCTGAAGAGCCTGGGGGTCCCTGCACTCCTCATGAGTGTGACCTGGGAGCTGCACAGCTCCCAGCCACCTATACCCTCTCCAGGAGCAGTCCTGGCATGGGGAGCACAGGTGGCTGCAGCCAGGGGACCTGCAGGCCAGTGGTGTCTCTCACCTGTCCCCCAGCCAGGGCGCAGGGCTCCAGCTCGGTCCCTTTGGGGCACTGCTCTGCTGCCACGTGAGCAGGAACGAGCCCATGGTGGCCAACAGCCAAACTGGCTCCAGAGCTGCCAGGCAGGAGGGAGTTGGGCAAATCTCACCCTCATGCAGTGCCCAGCCAGGCCAAACCCCAGCAGGTTTTCAGAGTTAGAAAATAAATGCACTCTTCAAGGGGGAGAGGGGGAAGTGTCCCTGCAAGCTTCTTGCATCAGCTGTAGGGAACATCACCTTGGCAGGTCAGCTCTCAAACACCCATCCTTCATGGGAAGGGAAGCTGGGGGTGCACAACCTCCATGCTGGCCATGTCCTGCCAGCTCCATGTGCTCCACTCCTCCCTTGGTGTCCTCACCTCTGCTGGACCCCTCTTGCCCTGCTCTGCCCGGTGTCCACAGCACTTGGATATTCTGCTCCTCCCTCCAGGGGCTTGCTGAGAAGCAGCCAAGGAATCTCCCCATTTCTGCAGCACAGTTCACTGGGAAGTAATCCATCTCTGCTTTCCCCAAATTCAACAACAGTGCCTGACCGGCATCCCCAATCCTGCTCCTCTGCCTCATCCCTCACCCCAGCTGTGTCCCTGTGCCTGCCCAGACCCCATCAAGCAGCTCCCTGTGCTGGCCCTGCGCAGGCTCTGAGGCAGCAGTCTCCAGGGAAACTCCTCTGCTGAGCAGTGATTTGGGCAGGAGCTCCCCACCTCCCTTGCTCCCTGTACAACAGCTTATTTATTTCTCCCCGGCTGAAGCGTGGCTTGCATATTTATCACAGAGAGCCGGCTGCTTTGGTGCTGGCCTGGAGGTTTAAAGATGCTTTGATGGTGGCCATTAATGTCTCTGAGCATCTCTGGGTCTTGCTTGGCTGGAATATCCCCAGCTTCATTTCTGCTGGTCTGGCATGCTCACCTAGGGGCCCAGCCTTCCCTTTGGGAACAGCTTTAGTTCAGTGGCCTGGAGCAAGGCCTGTGCGTGGCGAGGAGCACAAAGCAGCCAATGTGACTGATTTGCTCCTTAACTTCACCATCCTGTTTGGCTGGGAGCTCAGCCCCTTTCTCAGGTTCCACTTGCCTAATTTTGTCCAGCGCTGTGGCCACGAGGGCACCGTTCAAAGGGTTTCCTCCAGTTTCACCTTTGCTCTAGTCTGGCCCTGGATGCTGATCAGTGTCTGCAGCACCCTCCTGGTCACACCTCCCTTCCCTGCATGCAGGGGCTGTGCAGACCTCGCAGGCAGCTCAGATTTGAAGTGTGCTTCCCAAGGGAATTCTCTTTCTTTCCCCAGCACCTCCAGACCAGTTTGCTCGCTGCCAGTGCTGGTCACGCTGTTCCCTGGTGAGATGCCCAAGCTTTACACGTGGATGGCAGAATATTAAGGCTCAGGCATCTTTAACGCCCTGCAAAAGAGGATTTTTCCAGGAAAGTCCAAGCTTCCTATCCTGAGTCATATGCTTTGACTTATTTATGTGGTTGTTATTGCTCTGTGAACCCTGCCAGGCAGAAACATTGTCAGGGACAATGCACACGAGGTTGGGCTGGCTTTCCTGCAGCAGCCCTGCAATGTTGCCCTCCAGCAAACCCAACTGCCCCCGAGGGGTTTCCTGCTCCCAATGGACTTGCAAATGAAGCCTGACCATCCAACTGCTGATGCCTGCAGGGAAAAGCTTTTCAAAGGACACCCAGAGCTCATTCCTGGAAGAGAAAGATCTTTGCTCTGAGCAGAGGGTGGTATGCTGGGGCAGAACCATTCTCAGGACTCTGGGCCAACAGTTACAACCCTCAAAGTGAAATAGGAATTTTTAATTTTAGAAAACCTGACAGTTTCCCACTGAAAAATACTCAGTTTGCCCTGAAGTTCTTCATCAGGATAATCTGACCCAACCTTTTCAGTCTGGGTGAGATTCTTTCCCACAAAACAGTGGAAGCCCAAGTTCCAGTCCCAATTTGCTGTGCCACTAGTGAGTGGGGCTGAGGGCAGGCTGCCAGCAAATCCCTGTGGCCCTGCCATGGCAAGGGCCTCCAACCAGCACACACCTATTAGTGGCACATAGTGGCCATCACAAATACTTGAATACTTGAATCACTTGACTTGAATACTTTTAAAATTAAACACACAAACCTTTTGTTCTACTATTCAAAATAGCCACATTTTGACCTGCTTTAGCTCAGAACCAGAAGAAAGTGCCCATTCCTGCAGGTTTCTGCCAGAGAGAACTCCAACATCCCCTTGTTTAACCCAGATTTTAGCCTCTCCTTGCCCATGTTTTTAACCCCAGAGCTCCCACCCCTGCTCTGGAGAGAGAGACCATGCACTAAAGCACAATGCACAGCCAGAGTAGCAAGCTCAGCTTCTCCACTTCTGCTGCCAGGCCACAGGGCTGAGAACCCACTGAGAGCTCCCAGATAGTCCCATAGGCTTTTCCTATCTGCAGCCATGTGATCCAGAGAGATGGAAGACACTCCCTGGCTCTGAGATTAATTCACTTGGACCCTTCCAGCAAAGCATATGAAGGATCAGCGTGAGGAGTGAGCGCATTCCCACCAATAAGTAATTTCCAACCTGAGTAATAAAACAGCAGACACTAACGAGTTCCATTACATCCCCATTAAAAAGTGCTTTCACTTAGCAGGGCTCCACAGCCCAGGGGCTGGGGCTGGGTGGTTTGGTGCTGCAGCCCAGCCAAAGGCACTGTGCTCTCAGGGCACTTGTGCCATGCATGGGGTAGGAACCAGCTCCCAAATCTGCCATCCCCTCACTGCTCCCAGCCATGCTCTGCACACTGGGAAGTGGTGCTGCAGATGTGTTCATGTCTGAGAGTGCACCCCATGGATTTTCCTGGTGCTAGGAAGTTAGATTGAAATGTGAGCAAATATCCTGTAATTAAAATCTGAAGCCTTTTACGCAGCTTTGGCGTGTTTTTAATAAGTGGGTTGGAGGGGGGGATATCTAATGATGCATCACTGCTTTTATCATCAAACTTTTCCCTCCAAAAGCCACAGTTCTTGTAGGATTCCCCCAAAGCCACTAAATAATCTTGACTGCTTGAGAAAAATTCCCCATTTCCTAGTTATTGATGGCATGGGCTTTGGAAAGCAATACCTCCTCTAGAACACAATTTCTCACCTTGTATATTTTGCTGGAGATATATTAACCCGAGGTTTCTTATGTCCCCTAAACCACTTCCATTTCCAGGAGCTTGTGAAAACATGACATAAGGTGACCACTGAACATGATATTTTCTCTG